AAATACCATCTGATGCTACTGGGAGGGAGAGTGAATTTAGGGGGCTGGCGGGTGATTGGGGGGGGTCTCACAGGGGCAGCATCCCCCATGGCCACCGTGGCCTGGATGCAGCCCCGGTAGGAGCCATGGCTCACCTCACTGCCCTCGAACTTGACATTGACCAGGAGGGCCCGGTTGGGGACCCGCAGGGTGCCAGGCCCCCAGCTCCGTGCCGAGGGCTCCAGCTGCAGAGGAAAGCTGTATTGTAGCCAGGCCTCCCAGCCCAGCTGCTGCCGGCGGGCAGCCGCCTCCTCGCAGAACTGGCGCATCTTAGCTCGAAAGTCATTCACTTCCGGGTCCCGCAGCGAGTCAAACTCATGGAGGCCTGAGAGGCAGGGAGGGGCCCGATCAGCATGGGGAGTCGGGCGGCACGGCCTCGGCGGGCCGGGCAGCCTGGACCATGAGGCCCACCCGGCTGGGGTACCTTTGCCAATGAGGAGGCTGATCTGAGAGTTGGTGAGCTTCTTCACCCTGTCGCCCTCCCGGGCCACCAGGCGCAGGACGGGCAGGAAGGGCTGGATGTCACACAGCCGCCGCTGCTCGTCCTCCAGCTCCTGCTGCTCCGCGGTCTGGTTGACGCAGGTAAACACATAGGCTTCAGGGTCACTGAGCATGTGGAAAAGCGGCTCATACTGGGCTCGGTGCCACAATACCTGAGAGGGACAGTTGCCGGTCAGCCCCTCCGATCAAGGCCGGCGGGGTCTCAGGGAGCAGGGATGTGGTAGAAGCTAGCCTCAGTCTGGGTGTCCCACCCTGCATGACCCTGACAAGAGGGCAATGGCAAGATCCCAAGACTGACACCCTCTCCGGACCCCTGGAGCACTGACCACAGGAGTCACCAGAAGACTCTGTCACCACTGTTCTGTGAAAGGTGCCAGGTATGGCCTCAAATCTGGAACCGAGCAGTAGGTCCTACAATCTCCCCTGTAGGTTTACTCTGAGAGATGGCCAGCCGGACATGACCTCCAGGGACCCCCAGCTAGTCATTCTAGGGTTCATCACCCTGATTTGTAAATGTTGGCAACCAATTCAGAAAAGTTGAACACAATGAGGGGGCCATAAAACCCTCTGTGGGCTGTGTGCCGCCTGGGCAAGGTGTCCCCAGATATCGCTGGAGAGCCATCTAACAGTCAAACTTTAGTGCAAAGGTGTTCACGGCTGAGTCACAGTGAAGACGGAAAAGGAGAGAACAGCCCTATTCTTCTTTCATGGGGGACGGTTAATTACAGCCTATCAATGCAAAAGGATAGCACAGGGGCAGGACCCAGAAGCTAGAGATACCTGTAGACGGAGCGCTCCGAGATACACCATTAAGTGGGGAAAAAACGCAAACTGTACAACAGCACATGTAACTCAAGCACATTTCATAAAAACAATAATAAACATACTAATTATATAGACCAGGATTCCGCAAACTGCTGGATTACTGGAAGACAGCCACGCCCACTAATTTACATATTGTCTAAGGCTGCCTTCACCCTATGAGGCAGAGTTGGTAGTCTTGACAAATACCCTGAAAATTATTCAACAAAAACCAAAAACTATTTCCAAAGATGATGTTTACTGAGACGACGACAGCTCTATGAAGACAAAAAGCCAGTAAAACTCTTACGTGGCCATGGATGGGGTGTGGTTCCAAAAAATGAGGGCACAGTCATGGAGCACGTGGCAGGTCACATGGGAACCATGCTCCAAAGCTCTCACTAACAGCTAGTGCGGATAGACTTGCACTGACACAGGGGAAGCTGACTTTGGAATGCTAGTGGACTCTAACTGCAGTTTCTAAACAATTCTTGGATATTATTGCTGTTTTTTAAAATTCATATCCGAGATCGCAAATCTGAGAAACTACGCATGTGAAGTGCGAGTCTGTCTGTCTTCCTCTTTGAATTCCAAGCTCCGAGGACTAGTTTTAAGGTCAAGATCGTACCTTCTTGATGGTGCTGAGGTTGGCATTTCGGGACACAGGGAAGTTCAGATAGACCCCCGTGGGCAGCAGGAAGTCAACCAATACGCTCTGATTCTCCTCCTTGGTCCAGAATTCCATGGGGCAGTCAACCCCGGGGGGCATCCTGTTCGTTTACTTCTCAGACACCAGTTGTCCTCAAAAGGAAGCAAAGGCAAAGTTAGCCCCTGCAGGTATGCTAGGTGAGTCCTTTGAAAAGACCTTCTGGGAAACAGGTTATCAGGACCCTTGATGGCAGGAGGCTCAGGATGGAGTCCCAGCCCATAGGCACCCAGAGCTCGCCTCCCTCTGTGCCTCATCCTGTCTGGGGTGGCTTGTGGCTCCCACTGCACAGGCCACCATCTCGGCTGAGCTGCCTCTTGTCACAAGTGGGCACTCTGTCTGCATCCCTCACAGCAGTGGCTCAAATTCAAGACACCAACAGACCCATTCCAAGTCGTTTTTTTTTTTTCAGGCACACACATGTGGGAGATCCCACCATAGCCACCAGCTGGCAAAGGTGCGAAATGGCAGGACACTGGTCAGATAACCCAGGACTCTAGAAGGACTGAAGGCTACAGTTCTTTGAAAGTTTCTAGCCAGAATCCAAGTGGCTTAAAAATGGCTTTGGCCATCAAACAATTTGTTGAAATATCTCAGTCATACCAAACCCCCCAGTCATACCCCACTCCCTGGTAACAAAAATATTACAGACACAATTAAAGGTCTTCCAGTATCTCCCCTGCTTCATGTTACCACACTACCTGGCTTCTAGTTGTTTATAATCTCCATGCATGTTTTTATACTTTTATTATACTAATATATATCCACAAACATTCCTATCTTTCTGCATGCTTTAAAACTTTGTGTGAATAGTGGGTCTTCTACAATCTGCTTACGTTCTTTAGATTTATCCATACTGACACATGTAACTATAGCTCATTCATTTTAACTCTTGTATGGTATTTCACTGTGTAACTAAACCACAATTTATTTATCCCTTGTTGATGAACCTTGAGGTTTGTTTCTACCCTTTTTGGTTATTACAAGCATTGCTACCACATATTCTTGCTCACATCTCCTTGTGTGCATGTCAGAGTCTGGGCGAGTGTTGTCCCAGAGAAATATAATGTGAATCACAGGTGTAATGCGTAAGTTACCAGCAACTATGTTAAAAAAAAAAAAAAAAAGTAAAAAGACACAGATAAAATTAATTAGTAATATATTTCATTTAACCCAATAGATCCAAAATATGGTCATTTCAACGTTATCAATGTGGAAACATTACTAAGGAGATATTTTACATTCTTTTTTGGTATTAAGTCTTTGAAATCTGGTGTGTATTTTACACTTAGAGCACACCGCAATTTGGACACTGGGTTGTCATTGGAAATCTTCATCTGTATGTAGAGTTCATACAATTGACAGGTGAAAAATAGGTTCACAGACTCATGTTGTTCCAAATATATTTTAAGTTTTTGAGTAAATGAATCAAGTTATCAATGCATATATTTAAATGAATGAAAATTAAATAAACTGTTTAAAAATTCCATTCCTCAATCACATTCTCCACAGGGCAGGTGGCTGGCGGCCACCATACTGGACAGTGCAGGTCTGGGGTAAAGACTGAGAGCAGAATTGTCAGATCATAGGTATAACCCGTGACAGGTCTAACAGCATCATTAACTTTACCAAAGTAAATGGTGACGTCCATTAGCAATGGCACCTCTGGTGTCCTATTAGTATTTTCGTCAGCACTTGGTATTGTTAGACTTACTCACTTCTGCCAATCTGATGGGAATGAGATACTTGGGTTATTTTAATTTGCATTTCTCTGATTTTTTTCCATACAACATTTATCTTCTCCAAATAGCCTGCTTATAAATCATGCCTGCCAATTTTTCTGTGGGTTTGTCTTTTTCTTAGTTTATACGGGTTTTTTTTTATATTCTAGATTGAATTTCTTTGCTGATTAAAAGAGTTGGAAATATCTTCTAGTCCAAGTCATTTTTTCATCTTGTTTGTGGTGTTTTTTGTTTTTGTTTTTGAATGATGAGTAGAAGTTTTTTGATGATGAGTAGAAGTTTTTAATGTTGATGCAGTCAAACTTATCACCCTTGGGGCTGGCCGAGTGGCTCAGTTGGTTAAGAGCTCGCTAACTGAGCAACAGGGTCGCCGGTTCTATTCCTGGCCTGAGCTGAGCTGCCAACAGGTGGCAGGATGGCTCAGCTAAAACCAACAAACAAACAAAGAAAACTCTGGTTACAAACTTATCACCCTTTTCCTTTAGGTTTTCTGATTTCTAGTCTTTAGAAAAACACTTCCCTGACCTAAAGTCACATCCTCCTAAATTTAAATGACGTTTTAAAATAGTTCAAAGGAAGTATTTAGTTGGAGACAGGCGAGATGCCCTAAGCTGGGTGAGCCCAGGCCTCACCATTGCTGGAGGCAGAAGCTGCCTGAGCAGGACATGTACACCACCCGGCACCACCATGTTACCACTGCTGAGATCCACTTCCTCTGATTATGAAACCACATCCTACTCTGGGTTCCTCTTTCTGAGAATGGCCAGGCTGAAGGCTTTCTTTTGGATTCAAAATGTTGGGGCTAGTCAGGAGTCTTAGAGAATCCACTTATAATGCAGTATATGCTTTGGCTGAGCTCGGGAAGTCGGGGGCACCTTGGGCCATTCAATCTTGAGGCTGAGATGAGCACATGAGGCATGAGTTCCCTGGGACTCTAGCCAAAGGGACAGATAGGGCTCCAAGACAAATGCACCCCACATTCGCCTGGCTCTTAGCACCCTGGAAATGAAGCCTTCAACTACACACATCCATCTGGGAGGTGGGGAAATACTTGGATGTAAAAAACTCATTCCTAAACGAGGAAGACTCAGGATGGCGTGGGCAGGACATAATCAAAAGCCAGACATGGCACAAGAGAAAGTGGAAACGCTTTCCCTCTTTGTGGGCCCAGAACCCAGGGTGCAGCTGCTAACAAGCCCCAACTCTCCATGAAACCCAGTCTCATTGCTCTGCAGCATGCATGGCACTCAGATGCCAGCTAATCCAGGGACTTCAGAACTGCTGCAAGAGTGCAAATTGGTACAACCGCTTTGGGAAACTGTTTCACAGTATCAACTAAAGCTGAACACACATATGCCCTAGGACCCAGCAATTCCACTCCCAGGTACACACCCTACAGAAATGCAAGTCCATGTGTAAGAGATGAGTCCAAGGGTGTCTATAGCATCGCTGTTCCTAATAGCCTCAAACTGGAAACTTCCCAAACGCATATCAGCAGTAAGAAGGAAAAATAAATCATGGAATCCTCTCCCAATGGAATGTTGTATGGCAATGAGATTGAACGGCCTCCAAATACACACAGCAATACAAACGACTCTCACAAACATGAAGCTGAGAGAAAGCAGTCAGGCACAGAAAAGTACATGCTCACGATTTCAACTGCATAGAAAACAAGGTCAGCAGGGACCAAGTCCTGTAGAACAGGGGAGGCACCTGGGTTTCACTCTAAGAGTGATGGGCAACCGTGGAGCTGAGTTTTAGGCAAGGGAGCCACAGTGATCTGATTTGCGTCATGGCTACGGTGTGGAAGGGCTGGAGGGAAGCAAGTGGGAGAGTGTGGGGGGGCTTGTTCCACCAATGAAGTGGCTGATCCAGGAGGAGGAGACGGAGCTGGAGAGAGAGAGAAGGAAGCGGATATATTTAGGAGCTCAGGTGGATCAGATGGGGAACCGTGAGGGAAGAGGTAAGGATGACAGCCAGGTTTGGGCTTGGGAGACCGGACGGGTGGTGGAAATTTACCGAGATGCAGCAGTACAAGAGAGGAACAGATTTCAGGGGCAAGAAAACAGCAAGAGCCGCATTTCACACATCCTGAATCGAGCTCCTCACTGAATGTCTTACTGAAGACAGCCAAAGGGTAAAGTCCCCACTTTGGAGCTCGGGGAAGGGGTCTTTGAGGTCACAGAGATATAATTTGGGGTCAGCAGGTGACACACACATGTATGTGGAGCCATGGGGACAGGTGCAACGGCCTACGTGGTAAGAAAGGGCCAGGACCAGCCTTAAGACAGCAGAGTGAGGTCACGCAAAGATGAGTAACCCTTCCTCACTCTGAGTCATCCAGATGCTTGAGGCAGACTTCTGTCTGTCCACATCTGAATCATTAATAAAATATCAAAGAAAATTGGGCAGGAAGGAGCTCAATTCCTTTCACCTTCCCACTTCCGGCCAACATAATCCACAGAAACAGCCGTGTGACAGGCAGCAGAGCAGTCCCAGCTGTGGGTCTCCGTCACGGGGCCGCACCATCCCTTTGCAAGTTGTTCTTAGATGTTCTCAGATGCAGTTTCTCCAGCTAAGAACGTCTGACGGGTCTGACCTCTGAGTCCTGAGCCGTCAACAGAGGAGGTTCTCCAAAGATTTCAGTGAAAGTACTTCTGCCACCATCATCCTTCCCAGCCAGCTTTGGGGCCCTCAATTTATTTCTAAAAAGGAGGGCAAGCCAAGGAGGTAGCATCCCAGAGCCACAAACGCTCCCCTAGACTAGGAATGAGGCTGCAGCCCATCTAATAGCCCCCTGGGCTGGTGGACTTGCTAGCTGGTGACCTGTCCCACGCTCAGGACCGCTGAAGAATCCCTTTTGGTTCCTTTTGAAACTCCACTGTCCTGGGGCTCTGAGCTGGCATCTCCTGGGTCTGTCAGACTTCCATATCTTTCCGGTGGCCATTGCAAATGTGGCTGAGGCTCCAGCCTTTGTCAACAAAAAGACAGGCTTTTTGGTGCTACAGTCACATGTCCTGGGGGTTAGCTTCCCAAGGGAACTCATGAGTCACCCTCAGCAGACTGTGCAGAGGCCAGGCAGCAGGGAAAAGAGAAGTGTGTCCTGTTTATCTAAGCGAGAAACATCCTCCTCCCTGTGGGTGCCCTGGGCAAAACATGCCATGCACCTCCAGAAGCTACTGTAGGGCAAGAGTGGAAAGGTCCCCCTACCCCCACCCCGGGTCATTCCTACGAATCTGTCTATTATAGAGAGAGAGATAGTCACGAACCCTGGGACAAAACATTAGTCCAATGCCTGGATTTCAGAGCTGAAAGTTAAAACCCAAAAACCTCAAAAGAAGGCACCTCAGAAA